TAACAGTGTTTACGGTCAGCTCGACCATTTTGGGCATATGTATTAGTACAAGAAGTTTGGTGAATGGTACCCAATTTGGCCAAATATTCACAGAATTCAGTTTTACAGTATTTCCTACCCCAGTCAGACCACAACAATTTAATAGTAGACCCAAACTGTGTAGTGACCATAGACTGAAAAGTACGGTATATCTGGTAAAAGTCAGACTTATGAGTCCTAAGATAAACCCAAGTGTAACGAGTGCAGTCATCAACAAATGACACATAAGCAGAACCCCCCTTTGGTGAGAACAGGAGAATGGCCCCAAACATCAGTACGAACTAAAGAAAATGGTGTATCAAATATAGAAGTACTTTTATAAAAGGTAAGGCTATCATTTCGGCAAGTTTACACCCTCGACATTCAGTACGTTCACTAGGAGAAACTTTACCCAATATACTAGACTGAGCTAAAGACCGTAAGCAATCAGCAGACAAATGCCCTAATCTAGAATGCCACAAGTAAAAAGGACTAGACAGAGAATCTAACTGAAAAGAGAAAAGGCAGTTAGAGAGGTTGCCATAGGCAAATGCAAGCTCTCTACCACATAGAGGTCTCCAACTTTACAATTGGTCCCAATCTACTGCTTAGACATCCAATCCTGTACAAAACAAATAAAAAAAGAAAAGATAACATAAAAACCAGAGGCATTAAGCTGACTGATAGATAATAAACTGACAGATAACTAAGGAACATAAAAGACAGATGGAATAAAGACAGTAGACATAACAGACGGTAGGACAGACCCAACAGATACAATAAACATATTAGACCCATTAGCATCATTGACAGTAATAGGAAAAAGGAGAGAAGTACAATTTTGAAGTAAAGAGAGATGGGCAATCATATGATGAGAGGCACCAGAGTCAAAAATCCAGACAGACGAAAAAATACCTGAAGAAGACCCAAGCAAACCTGAATGAAGAGAAAAAACAATGGAGCCAGACAAGGATGGCTGGGAGGTAGACAATATATGCTGAAAAACTAACTAATCTGAGCAGTCAAGGAAACCAAATCAGGATTAGGAGCCAAAGCAGATGCAGTATACGCAGTAGGAGGAACCCGTAATAGGTTATGAGATTGCTGAAAAGATAAGGTAGCGAGATGTCCCTTCTTGGGATAGCGATACTTCCAATGGCCCCTCTGATGGTAGAAGGCACACTAATCAAAAGCCAAAGACATCATAATAATCAAAGAGATTAGGGGTTCAAGTGTAACAAATCCAAAATAGAGCAAAATAGTCAAACCAGGGGTCAAAGGGTGATAAATAGGCAATTGAGGGGTTTAAGTGTAATAAACCCAAAATATAACCAAAATAGAAGGAACTCAGTGAACGAGATTCAAGTCACGAACAAAGAGAGACTGAAGAAGAACCAGAGAGAGAAGATCAACGATAGAAGCACAGTGATCACGTCGAACAAATAGGTCGACCAGATGGGTTACCCAAGACCACCAGACAGATGAGACGAACCTCGTTGGAGAAGAGAAGACCAACTATTGTCGGCGAGATGAGAGAGGGAGGGAGCAAACCTTCGCGCAAGGCACGAGAGAGGCAGAGACAAATTACCAGGGTCCCCTGGACTCAGATGAGCTGCGATGAGGGTCTTCGATGAGGGTTTCTCTGGGTTACGAACTAGATGACCAGACGAAGGACGACTTGGACTCAGAGGGATTCTGATGAGGAAAACGACGTAGAGACAATTTCTAGGGTTTCGACTCAGAGAGGGCTCTAATACCATGTAAGTTTTCTGAATGAAACAGTACATTCAATTATGCTAATACAAAGATTACAACCATATATAGCAATCATAACCCTAATCTAAAATAGGAAATACAATCAATCTAATATTCCCAATGAATCTAAAATACACAATCAACCTAATTGATATATGTCCATAACTAACATAATATTCTCACAAATTACACCATCCTCCCTTACATTTTAAAATCCCGTAACAGTTTAACCTTTCTGTTAGAGGATCGTTAGTCAAAACGACATGATACACCAATTGATTTACAAAATACCCATTTTACCCTTGAAATGATAATTCTAATATATTTCATTTGCATTTTAGTTTAATTCCACAATAAGAATTTACTATCACCTACCACCACTACCACCTCACCTACTCCACTAAACCTAACCCACTACACCACTACCACCTCACCTACTCCACTAAACCTAACCCACTACACCACTATCACCATCCACTACACACCATCCACTACACATACATCTATATAAGGAACCATTTGTAATAGACAGAAAATAACATCAAGAAATCAATCAATAAATACATCAATTTTACATTATGTATAAACATTGGGCTTATATATATGCAAATGAGAACCGGCCACTCATATTCCAACTCCCAGCCAGGATAAGGGTAGTAGAGTTTTGTAACATATACACCAATGGGATCTCAATCCAAGTTCATCCAGTCCACTACTTTTGTATATACACCAATTTAATCATTGCAGTTGCCATTCGCATGTGTGTTGGTTAATGCATATTATACGCAACTCCTCCTCGATCTAGAAAATTGACTCTTCTTTTTTCTTTTCCTTTTTTTGATTAAGTCCTCGTTAGTCAAAGATTCCCTTTTCTCTCTACTTTTTACACATCTTTTCGTAAAAAGCCAAAAAGTCATCCCAAACATACTAGTTTTTTTTACATCACATTTTAGCCAAAAAGTTACTAAAGAAACCTGTTCCCAAACGAGGCCTAAGTAAATAATGGGTTTACTCACGTAAAGCTCTCAATCAATCAACCAAGCACAAACCCACATCTTTCTTTCATTCTCGCTAAAAATATCAACACAATTTTTCTATAAAATCAAAGACTCAAAATGGGTTAGATTTCAAAGATAAGCAGAGACAGACAAAGAGAGTGGTGGTGCAGATGTTGGTAATGCCAACAGTGGTAGAGTGGGATGTAGTGGTTGGCATGGGAGGGGTTATAGTGGTCAATGATGGAGGATGTGAGAAAGAGAAAGGATTGGCGGCTACGGTGGTGTGGTTGGCAGCCATAGAGGTTGGCTGTAAGGGTTGTGAAGATACAGTTGGGGATTATGAAGATGGGTATCGTAGAATGGGGTGTGGTAAGTTTCGTGATCAGGGCTGGTAGTCTTTGGTGAGAGAGAGAGAAGTGGAAGAGAAATGGCATAAAGGGGGCTAGGGTTAGGGTTGATGAGTAACAGCAAAAAGGTGAAAATAATGAGGACGAATAAGCTATATCAGTAATGATGAGGACGAAAATGATGTTGCCATGTCAGTAATCCATTCAAACTGGTAATGAATCAACCGCAACATAACTTGCCATGTCCGCCTTCCAGCTCTGTTGTCTATCATAAGTTCACCCAATGGCCATTGACTGTTTCTCTATCCAATGCAAATGTCCATTTTTGTTGGGGAGGGAACAAAATAAAAATAAAAAATCTATTCTAAATCAAACCAGTCCGAATTCTATGAGTTTCCATTCAAAAAAGTAAGGGCCTGTTTGGTTTGTGTTTTGTTTCATGTTTTTGTGTATTTTTTTCAACAATTTTGTGAACACAAAATAAAAACAAGTTTGGCAAATGTTTTTATATTCTTAAGAAATCCCACACCAGTGCAATTCCAATAGTTTTTTGAAAATTGCCTAGAAAACAAGGCTCTGAAATGAAAACACAAAAAGGGTGCTTTCACTAGTTAGCATGAGAATGAACAGTAAATGAAAGTTCACTCCCACTATAAACGCTCTTGGAAAACAAAAGCAAAAAATATGGTAGCATTTGGTAGAGTTTTCTAAATATGATTTGAGAATAAGAGTTGTATTTTGAGTTTGTGAGTTTTGGAATTATGATTTGAATGTAGAAACTTTGTTTGGTGAATGAGTTTTGAAAAGAGTTTTGAATTGAGTGAGGAATTTTTGATGTGATATATGATATCCGATACAAAAACTTACAACTCATAACCAAACACAAAACTCAAAAATCTATTAAAAACTCGTAAAAAAATTTCAAAAATATTGTTTTATTAAAAAAAAAAATCAAACTGTTCAAGTCAACTGGCTGGATGTCCGGTAGGCCAAATTTCAAATTTTAAAAGCCCGCCAGGAACGAGTTTTCAAAAGGAGGGATGGAATTAATTTTTCAAAACTCAAATCAAACATCATACTAGAATGTAGGGGTAGAACTTTGTTAAAATCCACTTATTAAAAAAAAAAATCAAACTGTTCAAGTCAACTGGCTGGATGTCCGGTAGGCCAAATTTCAAATTTTAAAAGCCCGCCAGGAACGAGTTTTCAAAAGGAGGGATGGAATTAATTTTCCAAAACTCAAATCAAACATCATACTACATTATTTCTTACAAACTTTGATTCCAAAACCCTTCCAAACACAGCCTATGTTTCCTCCTTTCTAAAACAAAAAACAGAAACATGTAACGCTGCTTAACCAGCCCCAAGTGCACCAACCATTTACCATAAAAACAGTACAACATAAACATGTGCACGCATGCATACAAGATAACAACTTTAAATACTACCAATTGTTATTCAAAATCACCTTCCTCATATCTGAAACAGAAGAAGAAATAACAAGATCACTACTTGACATGTCATGTAATTCAAGATCACTAATTGACCATTATTTGCCTTACTTGTCATGTAATTCACAATTTTTCCTTTCAACATTACCTGCTATTCCAACAATCTTGACTTCCCCAGAACAGTAATATTCACAGCTCTAGGAATCATTTTCACAATAATGACAAACCTGTTATACGTTTAAAAATTATAGGAAAATGCATAACAGAAAAATCTAGAGGTTTTTTTTCCCTGTTTAAGTGACTTCATAGGGTGTGTGTTCTAAGTTATAGACCTTATATATGGATAGTTTAATAACTTGGAGTAAGTCATGAATTGAATGCACCATTTTGACATTAAGCAGCAGGGCATGAATGATTTTTAAACTGCTAACCTTCACCATAGTGTCACGCACAAAATCATATTCAAACCGCTTCAGCTGAAGTTGAAGGACAGGAGGGAAGTCATTGAACAATACACCCTTTCTAGCATCCTGAAATGGTCAACAGCCTTACAGATGATACAAAAGAAAAGATGACAGTACATAAAATTGAGTAAAATAATGTGTACACCAAAATAAAAATATAATCCTTGTCCCAATGAAACATGGAACCATGTAAAAAAGACAAAAAAGAAAAAAAGAAAAAAAAGTAGGAAGCCAACCACAAGATTAGTCACCCAATATTGTTCATGCAACCACATGTTTGCAATGATGTCTTGCTTAAACTTTAAGTGAACCACTACTTAGCAAAATGACAGTGCCAACAGACCTGCAAACCATATTGTTCAGCTTGATACTTGTTATCACCATCAAGACTCTCAACCTCCACATACTTGTCAAAAGATGCATAAACATCACAGCAACCTTTGACATCAAGCTGAAGATCTGCCATCCACAAACATATAAAACTCATTAATATGCAAACACAAGAATAACCATAAAGCTTTATATAACACAGGGATTTTGGATGCAAAGAAATACCATAAAATGACTCCTTTCTAGTAGATTTATAGTCCACATTGATACATTCTATGTAATTCATATGGTGCCCTTCAAATAACTGTTGTATAGTACCCTCCACAACTGTTCCCTGGTGCCAATATAAAGCATTAATCAGGGTTGAAGTAATTGCCACAGTTCAGAGAACACCAATCAAGGGACTCAACTTCTAAGGTTCTTATACCTTCATTTTGTCTTCAAGCTTTTCACAGAGAACCCTATTAAGTTCTTGCACATCATGCTGCATGAAAGAATCATACGTGTCCCACCCGAAGGATTTAGTAAGCTCTTTTGTTGCAACACTACTATCATTATACTGGAGCTTATAAAATAAACTCTGCAGAGCCAAAGGAATGCTTGCAGATGGTAAATCATTCTCAGTTGTGGGCATGTGATACACGGCCTGAATACACAATCTACAATATCATCTTCTGCTCCTGATAACTTCATGTAAACAAACCGTAACCAGATAGAGAAAAAATTGGAACAGAACAACTAACCTTCCTGAAGTAAGGTATGTGATATAGGGTCTGGAGGAGAGAGTTCATGTAACAAGTTGCTCCTTGGTTTTTCAGGCCCACAAAACCAGTCTCCTTCTTTGAGTCATATGCCCAGTAATCAACAACCCTACGAACAGCAACCTCGGCTTCAATTATACATGTATCATTCGCAAGATAGCCTCTGCCAGGATCGTACAGTTCACTAAGAGGCATAAAAGATGTGAAACCCCAATCACTTTCGCGGGCATTAAACTGGTGTTGTGTTTCTACAGAATGAACAAAACAAAACAAAAAAGGTTAATAAAGTCTACAATACAGTCACATCCAACTCTGCTTATTTTTTCATAGTAAGATACATCAAGAAAACATGTAATTACAGATTGAAAGATTCTGCAGGCAAAATCAAATAGTTTATTTAAATATTGACCATTCCAAAAACATCAGCAACATAAAAATAAAATAAAATAAGGAAAATAAATAAATAATCCAATAATCTAGAAAGCATGTTTGCATAACATGTTAGCAACAAAGGACAAGTTAAGACATCTGGGGATCACATGTTTTCAAGCCCCAACTCCTCCCCCATAATCTGGAAAACAAACGAGCCATACAATTCTTCATCGTTCCTCCAAGACTTCGACCTATTTGGAAATAGCTTGTGGGTTTGGATTTCCTTGGCACGAGTGTGGTATTTTTTTTGGGAAAGCGTTTCAATACCAAAAAAAATTTATACAATGACGCTCAATACACAACCCAAAACGGGCACAATAACACGGCCAAGCAAGCCGAAAACCACACAAGGAAAAACACAGCCTATCTTAAAAGAAAAAAGTCACTCACAAGCCCGTGAGTCTAGGTCAGGTGTGGTTGTTTGTGTGTGTTAAACTTCGTTATGACAAAAAACCATGCACATCAAAACACTAACCATGTTTTCTTAAAGGTGAAGACTAAAAAATGATTACTACATCCAAGCCATCATCTATCTCATGACAATGACACCAAGATTGCAAGGCGCAAAAACCCAACAAAAGAGCAAAACTATTCTAAGTTAAATAATCAACATTAAGTATAATTGTCATCATAAAAAAGTTATCACTTCTTCAGTTAAAATCAAATATGAACCTTACAATGATACTTATTCAATGTATTGAACAAATGCATTCAACAAACCTTCAAAACCCATAAATAAAACATTGTCCTTCGAAATAATTATACTCTATTCTCCCTCTATGCAGTTTTCTTCTCATCTTCCTTTCACATCGGTGCAACAGCATTTAAAGGAAGAATATTCCTTCATTACTCTAAGAGAATTGAGTTGCTAACTAAGTTGTTGTACCTCCAATTTGAGAAACAAACAACTACCAAACATGTCATACAAAAACTCATGTGACTTGCACAGCACTAAATTACCTTCACAAGCCATACAAAAATGGCACTTATGCATTCAAACACAGGAAAGGAATACAACACAATAAGGGCACGGATGAACTCCAAATGAAAATCAAGAATCAAATAGAGAGGGAGAAGACAAATGCCCCAATTAGGGGTAAAACCCCCAAGGGCTAGAGAGAGAAACCAATTTCTACTTCAATCTCAATGTATATTCTTTTATTCCAAAACTACGTACCATGAGTATCACATCACCTACTTATAGACTACAACTCATAAGCTATTTAACAAACACTTAGTCTATTTATTCTACTACATCATACTCTCCCTCTTTAAGAAACTTGTCCTCAAGTTTAAGGAGCAACTAAGTGAATTCAATGTTAACACTACTCATGTAACCATAGGTAAGGAATAAGTGTTGCATTTCCTTGCTCAAGAACAAACATGATTCTCTCAACTTAGCCGTCTCCAGATACATTGAACTTCATCCTTGCATCCTTGGCTCAACAACCATAGGTGAGTCCATATCCTCTCGCTAAAAAAACTCAAATAGACCCCATTTCTGAACCCCTTCACCTCTAACTTGCATACTCATGCAGAAGAGTACTCATTCTGTCGGAATGAGACTAATGGCTGGCAAATGACATCCTCAGAGCAAAGCTGAGAAGATTGGCGCAATAGGATTGACAATGCATCCACTAGGCAAACCATGAGAGTAGTTGATCACGATCTGGAATTCGGCATAAAACGCGTTCTTTCTTTCCTCCCTAGGCACAATTGTGAACTGAGCACACAAGAAGCAACCTACTTAACTCAAAACAACTTTGTAAAGTGGTATGAAAAAGTCCTAATGATAAACTTCAAATAAGTTCTTTGAAATTTTTTTCAATGGCGGCTTGTGATGCGACAAGTCGTCCACTCATTTGCTTCAAATCATCTCTTTGATTAAAAGTTTGATTTAGATTTACATCATTGCTATTTCCAATTGAAATATTCATCTCAGTCAGCATAAGCCGCCACCTCCCCCCCCCCAAACGAATCCAATGTCCAAAATCACAGTAATATTAGATCAGCAAGCACCCCACAACAATTCCAACTTAATCAAACAATTTCCAAGACGTCATTGACCACAATACTATAGATCGATTTCCAATCAAAGAACCAATTCACGACAGATGCAATTTGATTCAAAGAATGGTCAAGCTAATGATAAATTGTATACCAAAATCGACAACATCTTAAAAATCGAAGAACCAAATCCAGTCAACCCCAGATTGCAAGAATAGATCACAAGCCCAAATTTGAAGTCACAAAACCCAAGAACAAGCCACAATCAAACAAGCCACAGTCAAACAAGCTAGGTCTAATTTCGATTCACGAACAAACCCACGTCCATAAGTCGAGTAATCCAGATTGATTCAACAATCTTCAATGTAAGAGTCGAAACAACGAGCAACCAAGCTTCGAAGGAAGAGAAGTCTCAAGAACCAAGTTGCAATTGCTAGAATCACGGTTTCAGACCTTACCTAAGATTGTCGGGTCGATTTCAAACCTTACCCAAGACTATCGGGTCAATTTTGGAGCTCCTTCTGGGTGTCGGCTCTCTCAATTAAGTATTTCCCTGGTTTCCAGACAAATTCAGATCAAATCAAGGGTTTCAAGTTGTGCTTCGATTCAGGCACATAAATCAATCGAGTTCCGAAATTACGATATCAATTCGTGAGACCAAATCGCAAGGACAAATCGAAGTCGGAATTTGAAGTGAAGTTCATATGCGAAGTCGATCGATTGAACTCACCAACGAAGAATTTCAGAGCCCAAATGGAGACTTGATCTGCGAACTCGAATCAAGGAGGGGAATCCCAGAGTCGATTGAAATTGAATACAAATCACAACCGAAAGTTGAACTTGAATCTGCGAAGTGCATCCAAATGTACTCATGATGAGTTTTCAAATCACGATAGGTCCTTCGCAACAGACCGTGACTTCGAACAGGGCTTGGATCAAATTTCAAAAACCATCATCTAGGTCAGAATTTCAAGCTGCAAAATGAAGTCCAAAGATTAACCAACCACCTAGGGTTGCGGTTGCAGTTGCAATTGAATTAATACAAGAATCAACTTTGTATCTCAAATGAGAACCTCTTGAATAAAATTAGAAGGGTTCATCAATTTCCAAGAAACCCATATCACAATCTCAATTGAACCCAGTTGCTGCAAAGTCAAATATTGAAAAATTAGAAGGATAGGATCCAAAACTCAATGCTCTGATACCAAATGATGAAGTCCAAATGAAAATCAAGAATCAAATAAGAGAGAGAGAGAGAAGACAAATGCCCCAATTAGGGGTAAAACCCCTAGGGGCTAGAGAGAGAAACCAATTTCTACTCCAATCTCAATGTATATTCTTTTATTCCAAAACTAAGTACAATGAGTATTACATCACCTATTTACAGACTAAAACTCATAAGTTATTTCACAAACACTTAGTCTATTTATTCTACTACATCAGGCACACTATGTTCGTGCCACAATTTTTTAAAAATTATTGTGTTGGCGTGTCCATCCCAAATCATATCCATGTCTTGTGTTTGAATTACAACATCATATTGTATGTCTGTCATGAGAACTTCCACACAAAAAATGGAGGTAGGGCTGCCTACCTGTTATCTCCCAGACCCTTGACCTGGAAATATGCTTACTCCTGCTGTATTAACCTTGACCTTTAAATATAATTATTCTTTGTTATATCAAAATAGTAAGAAAATATTTGTCACATTTTACATGACAAACAGCAAGTTTTAATAGGAAATTACATCTATTTTAAAAAGCTCTATTTCCAAACAAATTGGTAGTTTGCAAGATTTCTAAAAAATGCTTTAACCAGGAGAAATTTATAGGTATAAATATTTATATTGATTTAATTTTAATCATTAACCCCGCATCATTTTCTTCAAACTTAATCCAAGACCCATAGGTGTTTCATGTGTTAAAGGATAAAAATGCATGCTCCCAGAGTGTCCAAAGTGTGATTTTAAACAGGATTACAAAAATAATAGGATGCATTTTGACATGTGTCGGGACTTGTGTGACACGTGTCCTTAGAAGGGCTTCTTAGTTTCACACTTCATAAAGCCTCACATACGATTGTAGGATTTTAAATATATATATATTTAAAAAAAACAAAAAGATATTAAGCTTTCTTATGTTGCTAATCTATATAATATGGCACAAGGGTTTTTGAAAATGTCCAATTTGTCTTAGAGATACATTTTGTTTCAATGGTTCAGATTGTCCCATCTAAACTTCAATGGTTGAGATCAGTGTTGTGAAAAGCGCGCCTAGGCGCAAGGCGAAACAAAGCGCACTGGTTGTGCCTGGACAGGTCCCAGGCGAGGCAATTTGAGTTAGGTGCGCGCCTTAGACGCGACTTGAACCAGGCGACAGAGGCACAAGGCGCAAACTAGGCGCGCTTGATTTTTCGAATGGCTCTTAAACACAGATCTGATCTAACAGCTGCGGGATGCGTTCGAATGGCTCTTGACCACAGAGGATTACAACTCATGTACAATATGGCCCAAATACGACTGAAATGAACCATAATCTGTGTCGTCTCTTCCTCTCTCGCCTCACCTTGGACTGCGACTTCGACTGGGCTGCTTGACTTCGTCTTCGACTTCGCAGGTATGCTTCGCCATCTTCTTCTTCCTCTTCTTCTCCTCCTCCTCCTCCTCCTCTTCGACTGGGCTGCTCGACTAGTTCAACTTCTTCTTCGGTTCTATTTTTTTTTTTTTTCTTTTGGCTTTGACTTCTTCGACTCTGACTCTCTCTCTCTCTCCTTCTTCTTCTTCTTTTGGCTGTGCGACTACTCTATTTTG